TCAATTAATAATGTCAGGGGATTAATTTCATTTTAAACTTTTTTCTTACGAATAATATACCTTGAGTTTTGGTATAACTATAAATTATTTTAAATTACTTGAGAAAAAAATGACCCAATCAGAGTTTCTTGACGCCTCCGCCCTGTATCATTAAGGATACAGAGCCTCCAATATAGGTGCATCTCTATATAAAATTCAAGATGATAGTGTTAAACTAAGGCATTTTCTTGGTGCAGACAATGCGGATGAAATAGAAGCCATACTATCAGAGCGTGAGAGCCACTCCTTACACGAATTTATTGATAGAGATGAGCTACTCCATCCTGTTATAGACTTTGATTTACCAATAGAAATATTAAATGCCATAACTCCTAAGCTTTCAGGCGGTCAGGCAAAAATTCACTTTGTTGTGCCTTTAGAGATACTTGCCTAGAAATATTTCCAGAATGGAATAAAGAAACTTTAACTATTGCCGAAAGTAGTGACGAGAAAAAAATATCTCTCCATGTTTCAACTTTTGGCATGAGACTTCCAAATATTGCTCAGGTCGTTATGTTCACTGAGTTTGTTCTAAAAAACTTCCAACAGCTCTACAAGGAAATAGCATTATCGATAACATAGCAAATAAATGTTCATTCTCCTTGCGAACACTTAGATCACCCAAATACAATGAAAAAACTAGAGAACATATTCATGTGAAAAAAGCTATTCGTCCCAAAGATGGATTTGTCTTTGACTTCATAATCCGTCTACCCAATGATGAATCAAAAGTCATCGAGAACAGTCCTCTCTTGGTTGTTCTGAAAGCAGAAATGGAGGGATATTCTAATACTAATAATGTTACCACTGATGCTGAATTTGAATTAGTAGAGACATTACTTCGAGAGGCTAGCATCGAAAAATATAGTCTATCATATCCATCTGTAAATTTTCCTGATAAATTTCCACTATCGCACATCTCTCTGTCAACCTGCCCAATATGTGACTGAAAATATAATAGTGATAACGCATATATTAGATGAAATAAAAAATCATATAGCTTTTTCTGTTACCAGGCAAACGATGATAGGGAACCCGAATCTGGAAAGCCTTCGTTAAAGCTTATTATTAGTGAAACTGCTTTGGATCGAGAAAAGAAGCTTTTAAGTCCCGTAAAACTAAAATGATCCAGAATTTCAAACCCTAATGATCATTTTGCATGGTGGGAGTTAATACGTATGTCACTTCAGGTAAGAAATTCTCTTGAAATGAAGTATATAATGCAATCCAAGCAACAATTTCCTGTGTTCAAAAGGATTCGAAAATATGGATTCTAAAGCATAAAAAATCAGATGATGGTCTATACTTCGGTATAGCATCCAAGTTAGATCTCAGTAAATTAACCATTAATATCATCGAGTTAAATGGGGAAGCGATAAAATTACGATATTTAATAGAAAATGCATTCAATACTGATTTGATTACTTACGCGAATATCGATTTCCTGTCATATCCTCCAAATGTTATTCCACCAAAAACTGAATTCTTCAATCTTTTCTTGGGATTCAAAGCAAAGCCGGCATCCCAAATTAATTATGATCT